CTCCTGATGCAGCCCAGAGTACGGTTGGCCTTCTGGGCTGCCAGCGCACATTGCCGGCTCATGTCTAGCTTTTCATCCATCAGTACCCCCAAGTCCCTCTCAGCAGGGCTGCTCTCGATCCTTTCTTCCCCCAGCCTGTATTGATACTGGGGGTTACCCCAACCCAGGTGCAGGACCTTGCACTTGGCCTTGTTGAACCTCATGAGGTTCACACAGGCCCACCTCTCCAGCCTGTCCAGGTCTCTTTGGATGACATCCCTGTACTGGGAGACTGCTCTTGGGTCTCCCCACAGCCTTCTCTGCTCCAGGCTGAGCAGGATTTGGTCACCAGTCGCATTGCCTGTGTGACATAGATCTGTCAGACCTTTACCTAACTCGCCCCGTTCTCTATCCCTGCCTTATGTGACCATGTACCCTGCTCATGCCCAGCAGGACAGATGCTCCATAAGACCTAGAAAGGAAACTAACGGTGCACCAGGACAGCACAGTCTGTTTTGCAATTCTTTTCCTGGGTCACCTGCACTGTTCTGTAGTTCAGTTCAGCCTTATTCCTTCTACGGTTGTAGGGAGGTTTTTTGTTTTGCTGTGGAGCTGGAAACTTTTGCTCTCCGAAGAAAGGGACAGCCAGAGCCATGTGAAATCTTGCTGGATGTGTTTGGAGCTTTGTATTTTTAGCTCAGTTGTGCAACAGTTTACATGCAAATACTCAAACAGTAAGGCAAAAAGGAAAGGAAAACAGCCACGGCCCAAGGCCTTCGGGTCAGAGCAGCCAAACAGGCTTTGAACAGCTTTCAGACCGGACTTTCATTGTACCAGATGCTTCATTAAAGATCCTGTTCTGGTTTAATGAAGAGAATGGGAGCCTGGCTCTTAGGATGGACTATATTCCAGTTTTCAGGGCAGGTCCCGGTTTTTAGGAAACCTTTTGTTTAGGTTACTGCTTAAGTTTAGAAAGCTTCCAAAGCAGTAGACAGCTATGCAATTAAAAACACAGTTGCAGAATTAGGATAAAATCCTACTTTTTTGCAACTGACTACCTAATGAGAAAAGGGCAAACCCATACCCTACTTTTTTTGTTAATTACCCACATAATTATGCATGGGCAGTGTGAGGATTATACGCCTCTCTTTAAAAATCCAGCTTTGATCACAGCACTGACATAAGTGCACCTGCCAGCCTCTTCCAAGTAGACTTCATAAAAAACTTTCCAACAAAACTGAGGCTGTTGAAAATTGTTGACCTGTTCAACCTGAAATATTTCATTTTGCAATATAATGAGATCAGTGAACCTTTGATGAATGAGAAGCAGTGTTTCCAAAATGCTTCCAGGATCTGGAGTCCCAGGACAGAGAGCAGAGTAAAGCCAGCAGCATGGGAGTATGGAGAACCCCATGTCAGATTAGGTCTCCTACAGCTTTGGCAAAGCTCTGGGATATCGGGCTACCCACATCCTTGGTTTCTGGGCAGACTACTCAAGGCATCCATATGTTTTTAAGAGTGGAAAAGACAGCAACCAAAATAGGAATATTCAGATGTGCTTTTTTTGTTCTTCATGATCTGCTGCAGCATTCCAGGTCACTGGTAGTTTAAATCATGAAAAGAGCATTCTGCAAATCTTGATTCTTGTCTACTGTGTATGCTAAGGATCCTTTAAATGTATTCTGAATTGTTTAAGAGTGACTAGTCTGTGCAAAATTAGTTGGGTCAGTTGAGTTAGTCACACACATAGGCATCTACTGCCATTTAGAAAGTCCTAGGATACTTGAGAAATCCATGCAGGGCCAGCAGATCCATAGCAAACCTGCAAGAGACCTATGTCTGTCTATGGCAGGAGGGAAAGGCAGGAACATCTGGCTGTCAGATTGCACTGGATGACCATGGGTGCATCAATATTCACATCTGAGGCCCAGTTAAAGGTGTTATTCAAGCAAACCTCCCAGTCATTTCCACTTCTGTATATCGGGTCATGCCATGGGGTGGTCTTGGGACATGTAGGCTGTGGGGGCTCCTGGGCTGCTGCTGGGGCAGGGGAGCTTCACCCGTACTCCAGCAGGTTCCTGGGCATTAACGCTGCGGACCAGGATGGAGCCAACAGCCCCCGGCCCGCAGGGTGGATTAAATGTCCTTGTGAGTCCTTAACAAGTCAGCTTCGCTCCACGGATCCCCACTACCTGCTGTCATAAGTGTGTTCCCTGGGCCTCCATTACCTGTAAGGATGGCAGAGATACCCTTCTGGAGTCCTACATGCAGGTGTCGAAAATGAGATTTCTTAATATGAGAGAAAGGTATAACTACACCTCCACTAGAAAAATAGTGCCTGGTCCTGCTCTCTGGGTGGGAATCGGAAGCATTCCCCACCCTAGGGGAAGAAGTTTATTGTTAAGTGATTGCATTCTATTGCATGGTATTTTCTGTTACTGATTGCTGTTTAAAAGGGGACTTAGCCAGCGGTAAAGGGAGAATTTGGGTTGGACTTCACAGAAGAAATAATTTAAATTTCCAGTCGTGTGTTGGAGGAAAGTATGTGTTTTTTCTCCTCTATTTGCTACAGTTTATATTCCTAATTCCAGCCATTCCTCTTTCATAAGAGTTTTATTTATATACTTGAACCTGGCAATTGGAGGATTAAGGATGTGTTTTGGCTGCCTAAAAAGTCTTGATTATGAAAATCACCTATGCCATTAGCATAAAATAGAAAGCAGAAACTTTCTTATACTTGTAGTTCCAGTAGGAGAGCAGTTCACAGGAGCTGGAAGTTTTGCCGGTGAATGAGAATATCCATTCTGGAAATAGCCTGCCCTACCTCCATAGTTAAAATGGTACCATACCCTTGCAAAAGGCTAATTTAGGGACACAGCAACAAGCACCTCTGTGCTGTAGCTCTTTGCTCTTTGCCTGTTCCCATTCCTCCAGGGTGTCATTAACTTGCCGTAATGCGAATATTCACCTCCTGTGCTCCATACCTAAACTTGCACAAACCTACAGTTTGGCAAGAGGACTAGAAAACAGCAACAATCAAAGCAGACTCTGCTTCTTCTTAAAGCTTTTATCACAAAATACAGATTAAAATACCATTTTTAACCTAAAAAAAAAAGACGTTTATTTTGCTTTTCTACGTACCTTTGTTTATGATGAGTGTTCAAATTCATTTCCTTAGAATAAGGACTTCTCAGCGCCATGGTGCGTGACTTTATACTTTCTGTTTTATGGACTCCACTAGTGGTACTGTTGCTAGCTGGGAGAAGTAAATAGACTTTGAGCAAAAGATCACACCATAGCAACCCTCAGCTTCTGTTTACGGTTCAAATAAACGTCTGTGCCGTGGAAATTTATGTCCTGAGGAATTTTCTAAACCAGCATGCTAATTGGCTTAATAACAAAAGGATTAATGCAGATAAGTTGAAGACAAATTTATCCTCAATATTTAAATGGTGAATAATTTTTTTTTTAAGCTGCCAGTAAATAATACATCACAGCCACTCAGTAGGGAGAGGGTATTTTTTGACTTATTTATCATACTAGAAAGTGCATGACAGTGAGTACTCTGCACACTAAAATCAGTATTAAAACTCCCTCTGTTTATGTGAGCAATTCTGTGCCTGTTTTGAAAACCCAAACCTGTCAGTTTATAATTTCCTCACCTTTTGGTTAAAAAGGTAGCTTTTACTCAAGGAAAACTGCTGTTGGCTGAGCTGGACATTTTGCTCAAGAAAAGCCAGTGGAATAAGTTGCATATCTCTGAAAATCCTGGCTGCAAGGGGATTGCAGGCCTTCAAAGGATATGCCAGGAAAGGACATTTTCTCTGATACCAAGACACTGTTGCTAGCGGTGCTTGGGGTTGGGTTTTTTGATATGCAAATTGGCAAGATTTGATTCCAAAGGGTAACCGTTCCTTAGAGATTTCACCCATACGCGTTGGTCCATCAGCTGGCTTGCCTTTATACTGGGACAGTGGTGCAGAGAGCATGGTCAGGAGAAGGGTCAGTCGGGGATGGAGTCACCATTTTGGAGGGGTTTGTATCTGGTGAGGCCCTTGTGGCTTTGGGGACAGAGAGTGGCTGGAGAAGCTGATTTGGAGGCAGGGCAGGGTCACCTATGTGATGATGCGCTTCTGATTTGGTTCCTGCTCGTGTCTGTGTGTACTGTGGGTTATCTGTGTTTTAATTTAACTACAAATGTGGTATCTGGCCAGCTGATGGCGTAGCTTCTGATGATGTCACTGGACAAATGAAGCATGTGTAATCCCAACCAAACTGAGCCAACCAACAGGTCCAGTGGTTGTGAGCTGGGTTCACTCTTCAAAAAACGGTTGCTTTAGCACAAGAAGTTGCCTTGCAATGCTCTTTGGTGTTCTTAAGCAACATGCTAAATGTAGCAATGTGCCATTGCGTGATCGGAATTTAAAAATACCGTCTATATAGAAAATCTGACATCCGTGATCCTCGAATGAACCAGACGAAATATACCTCGTAGAATATTATTTTATCGCTTCTGTATTGGGGTGAAGAAGTGAGGGTCAGGTGCAAGCCTTGAATTCATTCTGGACAGCATATAGAGCAGAGGGACTATGTGTATAGGAACCAGGGGCCAGCAGATATAGGGTACCCCTGTATCTGCACACCCCAATGAGCTCAGCAGAGTGGGGTCACTTTTAAGGCTGGGGGTAGTGGGCACAGTGTGCCCCTGTGAAGACTGGGGGTATCGGCTGGCTGGTACTGGAGAGGTGGGGAGCCTATGGGACAGAGCATGGGGCAGTCCTGGGTATGGCTGGAGAGCCTGGGGGGGAGCCGTGGGATGAGCTGTGACATGGGTGGTGGGTGTGGAGGCATAGTATTGCAGCAGGGATGGTACCAATGAATATTTTGGGGGATGTGGTGTGTGGCACCCATGGGGAGTGCCCTGCCTGCGGGTATGAGCACAGCGAACAGCCCCCATCAGCACAGGGAGCTGAGGAACAGAGGTGGTTTAACATGGGCTGGGAAGTTGGGAAATCCTCAGGTTGCCTCCTCTCTGGTAGAAATGATCAGAAAAAAATAATAGCTGCAGAACATCAGTGGAAAATGAGTCTTGAAATCCAGAGGTGGCTGATCCCCATGGAGCCTCCAGTGCGATGCTTGCTCGGAGCCCACCCGCGACACGCACAAATGCAGGTTTGTGCCTCTTCTCTCCCAGCTTCCTTACATCACGAAAAGATTACCTAGGTGAGGGGAAAGTCAAGCTTTTTATATAGCACTTGCTGCTATAGAAACCACTCGCTCTGTAACAACGTGCCCTGCTATGGAGGCACAGCCGGCAGCAGCTCCGGGCTAGGGAATGCCGTGACCTGTGCTGTCAGTCTTCAATATTTTCGACCAAAGCCCAGCTGCCTTCTGA